CTCCTGCCTGCGGCCTCCGCCTTCTGCCCGTCCCGGGGCGCCTCTCCGGGGAATAGGCGGCGGGGCGGAGCGGGGCATGGGGCGGTGCCTGCCCGCGCTCCCTCCCCTGCGGCCGGGGCAGCGCGGGGAGCCCGGGCGCGGGGCCGGGGCTGAGCGGGGTTGCTGGCCGGAGCCGCCCGGCTGCCAGCGGGACGGATCGTGCTTGGCGGGAGCGCGGACAGGGCGTCCAGCCGGGCGCAGCGCCGGGAGAGCCGCACAGCCCGCGCCCGCTGCCAAAGCGGGAGCGGCGCCCGGAGCTCCCGGGAAGGGCCGCTCCCGAAAGCCGCGCCGGGGCCTCGCCTCCCGGAGGCCGCAATAAACGTGCGTCAAGGAGTGCAATATTTGGCAGCCAATCTGGCCTTCAGAGAACCTTTATAAAAACCTTTATTATTTTATTAACGCTGTTGACTACTCTGTAGGAAGGGATTTTGCCCGCAGGCGCAGATTGGTGTTGAGCCTGCTGAAGCGGGAATTTTAAACTTTGAGGGTGCTAAGTGCCTTTCTGTTCACCACATTTGCAGGCAGCTTCTAGTTACCAGCCAGACTCCCTTAAGCTGGCTCCATAGGGATCAGTCTGCTCTTCAGCAAAGCATGTGAGGGTTCCACACAGTAAATCACTTTAAAGTGAATGCATTGACAGGAGAAATAAGAGTGAGTGGTGCTGTAGGAAGGGTCCTGGTCAATGGCAAGTTGAACACGAGTCAGCAGTGCCCTGGCAGCCAGGAGGGCCAAGGGTGTCCTGGGTGCATCAGGCACAGTAGCACCAGTGGGATTGTCCTGCTCTGCTCTGGGATGGCCTCACCTTGAATATTGTGTGCAGTTTTAGGTGCCACAGTATAAGGAAAATACTTAACTATTACAGAGCATCCAACAGAGGACTTTGAACATGGTGAGCAGTCTGGAGGAGAAGCCATATGAAGAGCAGTCTGTTCAGCCTGGAGGAGACTGCAGTCCCCTTTGCAGTCCACAATTTTCTCATGAGGGGAAGGAGAGGGACAGACACTGTTCTCTTTTCTCGGGTGACCAGTGATGGAACCCAAGGGAATGGCCTGACGCTGTGAAGTTGTGTCAAGGAAGGTTTAAGTTGGGTATCAAAAAAAAAGGTTTCTCAGCCAAAGGATGGCTGAGCCCTAGAACAGGCTCCCCAGGGAAGTGTGACAGCATCAGCCTGACAAAGTTCAAGAAGTACTTTGGACAGCACTCTTGGGTACACGGTGTGACTTTTGGGGACGGCCCTGTGCAGGACCAGGAGTTGGATGATCCCTATCGGCTCCTTCCAACTCAGGATATTCTTTGATTCTCTCTGGAGCATATCAGTATCATTCTGTAGCTTGGTTATTGGGACAGCAGGTGATATTTTGGCATCATTCCCTCCTCCTTGACTAGTTACTAAGTGGAAGGTTGTATCTCTTATAGACTATTCACTTTCTTACCCAATTACCATTAAATAATTCCATTCCACCTATAACACTAGGCAGGATTGTTGCAATAATATATATAATCATGTATACGTAAATATATGTAAAAATTTTCTTAAGAAAGGATGTTCTTTGATGTTTGCTGTTTGTATGCTTTTAAGCCTCATCAACAAGGAATATTCAATCTGTGAAACAGATAACAAGCAAGCTCTAAGTGATGTCCAGGTGTTAGAAAAACAAATTACTTGGTAGAATTGCCTTGTTAGGGTTTAGGGCTTGACATGCTTCAATTATCTCAGACCTAGGGGAAGGTTAACAAAGCTTGGGAAGAAGGATGTACCACTGATAATGGACACAAAGAATGTGGAATTCATGGGACACAAAGACATCTGGCAGAACTCCCAAGATAAAGTAGAAACTAATAAACCCAACTCAGCAATTATGCTGAAATCAGCTCTGACTGGATAAAGTGATAATTCCAACAGGAGGAGATTGTGACCACCAGCTCACCAACCACTGACCCAAGAAACCCACCGACCCTAAAGAAGAGAAGGACTGAGCATGGGACTAATTAGCTTGAGAAGCAGGAGAATCATTACCAATAGAAGAATACCAATTAATAAGAGAACTATGTAACCTGTAGCAAATGAACACTAATTCCTTTGTTTGCTAAATTCTATAAATAGTAAAAAGTTCTGATAATTAGTGTGTGCAATTTGTGCAATACCACTGAACAGCTCAGGATTGTGCAACTCTGAAATAAATAATCCATGTCTCTCTTAAGTGTGTTGTTATTGGCTTGTTGCATACTGGGTAAAAAACCCAATTTTGGTAGAGAAGGTTACTCAGCATTTGAGGCAGTAGCTTCTGCTTTCTATATGTTATCATTTTAGAGACTGAATTAATTAGTTAAGTATTCTGTTGCTTTCTTCAGGTGCTATTTTTTGTTTGTTTGTTTAGGCACACACATTCAACATGAATACACTCATGCTGAATCAAGATTTTGAACTGTTACTCTAAAAGGAAGAATATCTTCCTGTATGTCCCAGTCCTAGTCTGCCAGGCCCATTAGGTTTTCCTCCTAGCTTGTAGCAGAACCCCGAATCAAAAACTTACTACAAAAATAACCACTGTTGTCACAATTAAAATCTAGGCAAAAAAGAAAAAAAAAAGATAAAAAAAAAGATAGTAAAATGCAGATTTATTTCATGGCTTCACTACAAATGTATTTACTTCCTGCTCAGCTGAAAATAAATTGGAGCATACCATTGGCAATTTAAGTGATTAACACTACATAAAAAAAGTTCAGCTCAGAAATCACAAGCTACCAGATTCAGTACCTGTAGGGATTTTTCCTAACAAAAATACTTATTTTAAAAAGCCCTGAACCACTTGACATATTTCATCACTGACACACACTGAACACCTGTGCCACAACATGGCAGTGCAACTTTCTAACACAATATAATCAGTCCTCCAATGCTTGATAGTCCATGCAGCTGTGCACATCCTCTTGGAAATACACGTATCTTTTCCTTTAGAGCACAGGGCTCAGTTTGCTGTGTTTATAACATTACACCTATGTACAACCACTTACATTATTGTGGAGCCCAGCAGAGTCTGAAGTGCCCTTTACCAGAGGCACCCATCGCCATGGTGTTCCATGACACAAATTTGGCTCCCTCAGCTTTTATGTCACAGAAATCCAGCCATGTGTTCTCACTTCTGCTCCTATCAAAATTTAGTCTTTTAGAGTTAAACGTGCCCTCATTAACACACATTTGGTAGAGACACACCAAGAGCTGTGGAAGGGAGCAGTATTCAGTGAAAGGGCCAAGTTGAGGAGCACATGGGAATCTACATGTAATGATAGGTATGTCAATGTACCAATACTCATATGAAATATGGGGCACAGGCAGAAACCAGCAAATAAATATCAAAAGATATCGAAACAAAAAACTTCACCACACTGAAACACACAGTGCTATCACATTAAACATTCTAACAGCTACAGCTTGAAATAGCAACTGTAACTTAAGGAAAAAGATATAAATCTCACTATTGCAAATTTACAGTTGCTTTAGATTTACTTTTTAAAATAGGAGTGAAGTACAGCAAAATTCTATTCAATAAGGAGTTGTTACTGTTCACTGCAGAAACATAAACAAGCTAGCAATGAATTGAACTGGACATGAATATTCTGTTTTCATACACAGGGATTTCATGCTTCATCAGTCATATAAATTTATCAAAGTTAATTTGTTTTCTCCTCTCCCTCTTCCAGCTACTCTCTGACTCTCAAGGCAAGTACCTGCCAGTTTGTTTCAATGCCAGTCTTTTAACATTATTGGTACCAATAAGGTATGAGAATGATAGAGGGTCAGATTACTTCATGTATGGGATGAGAACACTTCAACTGAAAGCAGCAGTGAGATTTTTGCTCATGTATATGAGCTGATCACCTTAGTTACCCTTTGATGTTAGTGAAGATGAATATCTCTTTCGAGTATAACTTCTTACATCCTAAAGATGGGGATTTTTCTCCAGTGACTATACAGAGAAACTAGGATGAATAGCTCAGATACAGGTATCTGAAAAATGAAGGAAAATGTTCCCAGTGAATAGGCCCAGTATTTTGAACAAATCATTCAAAAGTATTATAGATTTTTATTTCTTAGTGCCCATAAACACACACACAACCCACATCTCTAGTTTAAATACTATGAAATTAAATAACAGAAAACTTCATGTACATAGCATTGGTCTAGACACAATAGTGACATACAATTAGGGAACTTCGCTGGAGGTTTTTGGTGAAAAGAGACTAACATCCATAGCAGTCATTGTGACTATTTTCCTGACTCCATTCTGTGCATTAAATCATTCTGTATTTCTTTTCTCAGAACTGTATTGGAACAAGTAATCTTTCTCAAAAAGGAAAAAAGAAAAAAAAAAAAAAAGGCTTCTTAATTTCCCTAGAGAATCAAACAGGCCAACTGATAAGGAAAATTTAATCTTCTGGAATTAGCAATGGGAAAAAAAAATCCAGCATGCTGGAAAGATAGACAATATTTGTAACTACAGTTATGTAGAAGTCCACTTTTTCTTCACCGTTTTCTCTTTGAAATTGAGTGTTCTGCACTGTTCCAGGAGTCAGTTATGAGGTATGAAAAACCAATAAAAAGGTTAACATTATAACCATTTTAATAAAAGCTACTGCACTGTTTGCAGTTCCAAACATTTCTGAAAATAAAGTAAAAAAATACTTTGTATTCTTAAAAGTCTTAAGGAAGTTTTTATTACAAAAGCAGTCATCTTCGTGGCTTCTTTTGAACACAATTCTGCCTCAACATTAAACTCAAGACATATGGGTATGCTTCATATTACCATCATACAAATAATCACATTGAATTTCTATACAGTAAATATTATATAAAACAAATAAACCCTCACAAAAGTATATACAGGTAGCCAGAAAGCTAATCAAGAAGAAATTATGTTGTCTGTACTGAAAAGTAAATACCATTTTAAAATACTAACAAAACATCCAATTTGTTTGTCTGTCTCTTCTGTCTTAAGACTTGAATAGAAGGACTTCCACAGAGGAATTTCTACAACTTTGGTTTATAATGTCCTAGAAAGAATTCATCCTTCATACATAATATTGATCAAGTGGATGTCTTTAAAGCTGATATGGAAAGCAACAGGGAAAACTACACATGTAGACTTTATGATGAGAATAATAATTTAAACTCAGGATGTTATATTCCAAATATACAGAAAAGACCTGATTATAGTAAACATATTTATCTTCTACTATAAATTAGCTCATCCAGCCATATCACAACCCTTTAATTCCTCATGACTGAAGAAGCTGTGTGTTCTCTCTATCTGATGAATAGTAGGCTATGCATGGAAAGCCTTAAGAACCTGCTATTTGTACTGAAGGGTGTATCTATTTCAGCACCTTTCAGATACAAAAGTTGGTACTAAGCTATGCTGGCTATTGGAAGACGATTATCCATTCTGATGCAGTGTTCTGCTTACCAGATACTTATCGAAGAGCATGCTTGGATCATATTCAGAAACAAATTTCTGAAAATTTTGTCCAGAAACCAGAAGAAATGGAAACAATTGCCACGGCTTTGTACCCTATATGAACTAATTAGTCCCACTGAGAAACAGGCTATATTTATAGGAGAGAAGCACACATACATGCCCCTTGCACCTTGACTAAAACCAGTATGTAGCCATGTTAGTTCATTCAAAGCTAAATTTGTGGACAGCACCACACTGCCACAGCCTTGCCGGCTAGATCTACAGTCAGTGTGGCAAAAATAGTACACTAAAGTACCTGCATGACTTGTAGCTCCTGAGCTAGCTTTGTCAGAGGATGCTTTGGTAGTTCTGCAATATTGCAGTATGCTCTGTAGACACACCTAGTTCTTGAAACAACTGTCATTTCCAAGCAAATTTATAATGTAAAAGTAGCCTCTGGGAGGTTCAAAACGTGGTAGAGATGTAAAATGGTTCTATGGTGGTCAGATAAGAAGGTCACACAGCATCCCATCCTGTGGCAGGAATTTCCCTGACACTTTAAGTGGTTCCACACATAGAGGAGCTGTGTGTGGAGAATGCTAAACAGTCTCACAATAATCGATAGACAAATTAGAAAAGCTGCAAATACTGCATTGATCGATTTCTCCCAGGGGACATGGATGGCAAGAATAAAGGAATATGAAAAGATAGGTAAAGTTCCCCAGCTGTCATATCCAATAGCAAACTTCCAATCTTAAACAAACAAAACCAAACATCTCAAAAAAACCCCAAAGAAACTGGAAAAACCAACCACCAGCAAATAAAAGACTACTTCCTGAAGCAGGAATGTAAATATTAATACATGACAAATAACTCTGGACAGACAGAGTTCAAATGTGTATTAAAGCATAGCCCCTTTTGAGAGGTAACATGGTATCAACATAAACAACCTCTGAATCATCCCACATCGATGTGCTCAGTTTATGCATTAACATCTATGCTTACTTATCTGCCCCTTCAGCAAACACACAAGCCATGGCAGACAAAGGTGAAGCCAAGTTCTTTCAGGTAACAGATCAACAGCCAAGGTCAGGTCTTTTGCACAGTTACTGTTCCACAGAAATTATCTCTTTATTCCCCAGAAATATAGGAGCTGAAAGGTGTAATGTCCTTAACCAGAAAGCACTGAATTGCCTGAGAACACAGCAATTAGCTCCTACAGATACTAAACTGTATTTAAACACTGACCTGCCACAGGAGCTAAAGCAGTTCTGACTTCTTGTCCATGTTGTCTGTTGCAGATGAGGCTGCCTGCCAGAACAGAAACTCTACCTGACTGCTCTGTTGCCTCACCTTCTTTTCATTAGCTGCTTACTAAAATCTCCATCTAACAGTATTTTCTATACTCAAGCATACCTGAGAAGCACACTGGCTTACAGACATTTATGGTCAAATCCTTGCCCTTTTTTACTCTTGCAAAAATCTGACACTTCACAGGCTGGAGACAGAAATGAGCATAAGGGCTTAACTCAAATTATATGAGTAGACTGATGTGCTAGAGAGAATTCATTCTTCCACTGTCTCTGCAGGACTGGCACTGGAAGGCAGTAATAAAACTGAAGTGGACAGATATTTTTCATACTTGAAAAGATCAGGATTTAAACAGGAAATTGCACTTTTAAGTATCACTTTCAGAAATAAAACTGCCTCCTGCTATTCATCCCGCTACCAAAAAGTCAGATGAAGATATCAAATTACAAGTGTATGCTGTGAAATTCCATCTGCATTGCTTTCATATACCTATAAAAATGTTCTAATGGACTTTAAAAGCAGTTCAAGTAAAAATAAAATGATCCCTCAAGCTGAAATGTTAGGATCTGCAGGAGGGAAAAACTGGACATTCAAGTGTGCGGTGCTGGTGGTGTTGTTTTTGAGAAATGATGACTGAACCTTGTACATGGTCAAAAGTACCCATGTAACAGTAGTCGTAAACAGCATGCACGGGCAACCTGAAAAGGAACATCAGGCACCGCCTTTCTTTTGCAACTGCTCCAGTTTTCTTCTTAAGAGGTTGTAGTTTTCCTTGGTTCCCGGTGCCATGGGATCAAGCTTCAGAGAGACTTCATAGTGCTTCTTCGCTAAGTCAAGGTTTCCCCAGCGATGATAAAGCACAGCTGGAACATCAATGGGAATTTCATTAGCAATATTGTTGAGTAACGTACAATCTTGCCAATCACTTGGAGAACAACATTGAAGTATTTGTTTCCAGCGAGGGTCTGTCACTGGCTGGTGGCACAGTAGCTGCTTGTTCTGTTGCCAAATGCAGGAGCAAAGCCTGGGAGCAGAACTGGCATGGGAATGATGAAGGAATGAATTACAATGGAGCCATAAATGGCAGCTCTTATCTGGTGAGCTCATTGCGGGTTACAAGCATAGCATAAATGAACCAATTTGCAGACACTAAAGTGCAGCTACCTCTGGGCTGGATTGTGCAGCCCTCTTGATCTGTCATATCGTGTGACAGCTTTTCTGGCTTTAGTGCCCTGTTCTTCTGGCTGGCAGTTCTTCTAGAAAGTAAAATAGAAATCTGCCCAGCCGGAAGAAGGCTCTAAAGATTGCTTTTTCTTTTTTAAACACAATGAATATGAAGCAAATAAAGAATATAGCTGATAAGAGTTAAAAAGGCTCTTACCCAAATTACCGTGATAACTGGCAGCATTTGGATTGGCTTTAATTGCCTTGAGGAACAAAGCTTCAGATTCCTGAATAATTTAAAATAACAAGTCATCAGGAAAGTAAATTCTCATATATATAAAAAAAATGCTAAATTTACCCACCACTGTAGTTACAAACCCTTCAAAATGATGCCATATCTATATATACAACCACCATATAAATATGAGCCTACCTGATCCTCTAGCTCAGGTGGCTACAGCCCCCTGAAAACAGTGATAATGCTACAAATAAGTGTCATGTTTTTATAGGCTGCTATTATTTTAGCAGAAATTTATTAAGCACTAGTGAAGTTTGCTCTTTACCTGAAGTACCTTTTTTTTAATAGTTATAGTGTTTTCAAACATTATCTGCTGAAGTTTTCCCTACCTATGCAATAAAATTAAGAAAATGTACTTTGGTATCTAAGCAAACTGCTTATAGACACTTTTCCTTTGACAATAGTTTTAGCATTAAAAATAGGGGCATTCCAGTAAATCCCTTTCAAACAGATGTTTCAGTGTGGTTCCCATGAAGAGTAGCTTTTACTTAAAAAATCATGCCAAATCATATCAAGCCATGCAACATCCTTCACACTTTCCTCACCAGTTATCTTCTCTATATTACTGCTTGCAATGTGCGCTCTTAAGAATCCTGATATCTGAGTACTTTTTAAAAAACCTCTGCGCCCTCACCTAATATCCAGTGAATAATTTACTTCTAAATTTATTCTCTAATTAAAACCATTCTATTTTTCCAAACTTATATTAATACTTTTGACTTTTCCTGCTAATATTGATACTTTTTTCTCAGAGCATATTTCTTGCAGAAGTTGAAGAAGTCACACCCCCCCCAGTCTGAATGGAGCATTATTTACGCACTGACATGCAAGTTTAGATACTTGAGAGCAAATTTTACATAGATTTCTATGCTGTGCTGTGCATTAGGGAAAGTTATTCATTCAGTTGCAATGCAAATGACCTGAAGATAAAATTACCTCAATGTGGTAGGCTTCCATCTGAATGCACATGCTGTCTGAGTTATGTGAGAACAGTAACATGGAGAAAAGTCCTTTCCTTTGTGCTAAGCTTTCACTGCTTAAAACATAACACAGGCTCTACTGAAAAAGAAAACCTGTCAGCCGGATTTTTGGTTCCACCATCTTCTCATGTCAAGCATGAAATAACTCTCTGTAAGGGTCCCTTCAGGGGAAAAGAATTTTCTGATGTCAAGATTGAGTCACTCAGCTCTGAGTGACTTAAGAGCCTTCCCATATGTCCAAATTCAAACCCAAACTAAAAGCATTGCTGAGCACAGCTGAGGCTGCCATTCTTAAGCCAGGAGAGACTCATGCAGAAAGTGCCTTCATCTCCACTGGTTAAGGAAATTACAGACCCCAGGGTTCTCGGAGCTAGTCCAGTGGAGGGCTATGAATATGATGAGGGGACTGGAGCATTTTTTATGAGGAAAGGCAGAAGGAGCTGGGCCTGTTCAGCCTCAAGAAGAGATTACTGAGAGGGGACCTCATTGATGTCTATATATCTGAAGGGAGGGTGCCAAAGGGATGTATCCAGACTCTCCTCATTCATGTCACGCAACAGCACAAGACAATACGAGAAACTGATGCGCAAGGAGTTCCACCTGAATGTGAGGAAAAACCTCACTGTGCAGGTGACAGAGCACTGGAACAGATTCACCAGAGAAGTTGTGGAGTGTCCTTCCTCGGAGATATTCAGAACCTGTTTGGACATGATTCTGTACATGCTCCAGGTGAACTTGCTCTAGCAGTGGACTGGATGAGACAATCTCCAGAGGTCCCTTCCAACCCAAATCATTCTCAGATTCTGATTTTGTTTCAGGAGAAGGAATACTTCCCCTGGCAGGAGTTAACAAGGGAAGCAGATGTCTGCAAATTTAGAGTGTATGTCTCCATAGTACAAGTTTTAGCATTGCTTTCCTATAGCATGAGCAGTTGCTCCAGCATTCTCATACCCAGACTGTTAAAGTTCCTGGATGCATTGGTCTCTTTGAAACCCATACTGTTTAGTGACTTCATTCATATTTTGGATGATGGGACTGAATGCAGTTTCAAAACTTTACAGATAGCACCTAAGAGGACGGAGTAAGAAATACACTGGAAGGGAGAGTAGCTATTTTGAGGGACCTGGGCAGGACAGAGAAACAGGCTAGAAGGAATCACAGAGTGGTTGAGGCTGGAATGGACCTCAGGTGGCTGTGTGATTTTGATAAGCACTTCTGAGACCACAGCTGGAGTATGTGTCCAGGCTGGGAGTCTCCATTACAAGAAACACACAGACATACTCCAGTGAGTGCAGAGGGCCACAAAGATGGTACAGGGCTGGAGCACAAGAACAAGTGCAAGGGACAGCTGAGAAAACTGGATCTCTTCAGCCTCCAGGAGAGAAGATGAAGGTGCTGCCTGTAACTACCTGATGAGATAAATACAGAGAAGATGGAAACAGACTCTTCTCAGAGCTCTGTGAGATGGGATGAGACATAATGGATGCAAGCTGGCATACAAGAAATTCCAATTAAAGGAAACATCAAATTTTTTTTAATCATAAAGTTGAACAAACATTGAAAGATGCTGTCCAGAGAGGTTTTAGAATCTCTATCCACAAAGATATTCAGGATTCTACCGGAACTGGCCCTGGTTTGGGTTAGGGGTTGGACTGGATGACCTCTAGATGTCATTTCCAGGCAAAATTATTCCATTATTTCCATGTTTCTCAGTCACCTGAGAAACATACTGAGACTCAAAAATTTGGGAAGTGGTGCAAGATAACCTCTTTCAATACAACTCTCCAATCCTAAAAATCAACAGTGAATTGGTACTTGAAAGCATGTAGTAATTTCAAGTCCCACAAAGTAGTGTTTTCTCCCACAGCAAACTTTAATATTTTCCCTTAGTAAATCTCTTTTTTCCTCACTAGACAGGTTAACAGCAATCAGGATGAAAGATAGGCTAACCATTTAATTCAGCCTTACACTTAAAAGTTGCCACCTATGCAGTGGAGACACACCTCATGTACAGACTTGCATCCTTTCACTGCTGAAGCACAGTGGGACAACACGTGCAATGCACTTCCAGATAATTTAATGAAATAGATATTCACGAGCTAGCTGCCATTACCGTATATCTTCAACTCCATGCTGAGAATATTTTTATCACCACTACTTTGCTCAGCAGCTAATAGAAGCATTGTGGTTGATTAAAGGCTATTTAAGGTGCATCATATTCATATTACTGTGGATATATGGAATAAATATCCATTCCAGTACATCAGTGATATTTCAAATTGCTGTATCTTGCCAAATCTTTAAGTGTTGCCCAGAAACTTGCAGCTTGCATATAGCAAAAGCTTGGGGTAAGCACGGCATTCAATCTGCTGCCAAGGCCAAAAAAATGTAGTCTGGCTTTATTTCAAATACAAAAAATGCTGAATGGTTTCAATTTATTGTACTTTTTACAGAAAAAGCATAGATGTATATGTAGCAAAAATACAGCACACATCTTTTTCAAAGAACTAAAGATAGCTTGGTTTTTATCAATTGAGATAAGAACAAGCATTTAAACGAGAATCTAACTTGCTATAACAGATGTTAATTAAAAAACCCAAACAAAGCCACAGAAACAGCTCATCCTTTATGTGCTTTTCTCTCTGGAACAATACATCATTCATTACTAAATACAAGCAAAAATAAAGGGCTATTTTTTAATTTTTTGTGACGTAGGAAACCTATCTTCTGCTGAAAATCGAAGTGCATTTGAAATGAAAGAGAATCTTGTGTGCTTATTGGAAGGAGAATGTTTTGTGTTTATTGGAAGGAAATCTCTCACAACATAATAAAACCTTTTTTACTCATTGTCTTTTAAAGTAAGAGATAACAAAAAACCCCAGAACAAATCTTCCTTTGCGGCAACAGAGCCAACACAGTAGCAACTTTTATACAGACACATAACAAGTAACCTAATAAATTAAATGCCTGAGGTTATACAACACATCAGACACAGCCAGGCAACACTGAAAATTACCTCTATCACCTTGACAGTCTCCATCCCCTGTTCTTCCCGTCCAGTGTCATTCAATAAAAATCCTTGAAGAGCCATCCGCTCCTCTGCTTTTACATGGTGAGGGGGTGGACAAGAAATCTGAATTTTTCATGCTTTTTTTTCTGTCAGTAAGCATTCTCCCATTACAAACAAATCTGTATCTCCTCTTTCCAGGCAATGCCAAATACAGCTGCTGACACCATAACCTTTGTAAGTGAGCCCACTTTCCAATTCCCTTAATTTGTTCTCCCTGTTATAACCCATCAGTTTTAAGTGACTAGTAAGCTCTGCACACACCTACTCCATATTGAGCTATTAAAACACTCAGTGGAGTTCTGCTATTTTTCCTGGGCTCCACTATTCCTATTTTTTTTTTCAGAATCTGGACTTAAAAGCTGCACTTTCCCCTAGTCTTACTTCTACCTTGTCTCCAACATGTTCTCCTGCAGCATAATAACCTTTCAGGGCTGGCAATCAAAACCATCATCTTCTTTTTTATTTTTTAAATCCACTAAGACAGACTTGTCTCTCCTACACCTGGAAAAGTTTTCTAGCTTGTTTTCAACTTATTTTTTCAACTTTATTTCATTATAAATGCTCTTTATTCTGTCATGCCACATATTCTTCCTGATGAATGACTATAAAGTCCTCTATTCTTCCACAGGCCTGACTCACCAAAATAATTCTAGCAATTACCTCCTCCATAATCTCATACCTTATGTGTTCTGGATGTTAATTTGTATCCTTCTGGAACTTTGTTAAACTAACCTAAAATATATATTTTATAACAGTCTCAGGTAGAGAGAGAAAAGAATTAAGAGTGTCCAGGAAAAAACCCCAGCCAATCTAGAAAAACAGTACCAGGGTGTTTAACAGTATCACTAATGCAAACAAAAACCAATGTTGGGTTGTCACAGGCCCTGGCCTCACATGTGGACAGGTCAAGACTCCACAGCTGAATACTACTGTAGAAATATAAGTGGTCTCAGTAACTACTGGACAAATGTATCTATTTTGAGAATATTAAAGCTGGAAAAGATCTTTAAGATCATGAGGTCCAACTGTAAACCCTGCACCACCAGCATGTTCACCATGAAACCATATCCTCAAAAGCCCTATCCATACATTTTTTGAATACTTCCAGGGATGGTGACTCCACCACTTACCTGGGCAATCTGGTCCAATGTTTCACAACCCCTTTTGTGGGGAAAGAAAAAAAAAATAAAAAAATTCCTAATATCTAATTTAAACCTTTCCGGGTGCAACTTAGGCCATTTCCTCTTGTCAAGTTTCATATCACAGAATCTTCTTACTTTGTATATAAATTAGGATGTTCTTGCAGTGCTGTTAACATTATCACTAGCAAAAAGACATCAAACCCCTTAAAAGCCTAAAAAAAAACTTAAAAAAGGTTCAGGAAATGATGTTTTTCTAAGGAACACCATGAACTTGATTATTAATTTGTCCCTATCACATACATAAATCACTGATTATAGTCAGTTTAAACAACTAACTATATTAAACATGTATCATTTATTCTCTGTCATTTTATACAATTCCCTTTGGAAAACTAGTCATTCTCATCAGTTTCATTACATTTACTACTTGCAAATAAAGGTAGCTAATGCTGAGGTACCATGCACAGGCTGGTCCACTGCATCCAAGAGAAAGTTCAATGTATGCACCTTCTCTCACAGCATTCTGAGATCACCTAGGTATCCCATCCTCAATCTGGGATTAACAAATTCATATTACTATATTTTAGGTCATGTCTGAAGCAAAAAGGCTAGAATTCTTATCTGTATATGTATATATTCACAGAACATGTAGCAAGAGCACAGGGACTAGCCTGTCCCATCTAATTTGAGTTCCTGAAACAACATCTCTAATTCAGTGCAGGCTCTTTCTCTCCGGCAGTGAAACAACACAAGACCCTAGCTGCCCTCTAGTGTGCTTAAGAGCCTATTTCTCTCCACTGACCACTGACATAGTGTAGGGCAGCAACATCTGTAACCCAGGCATCTGAAAATAAGGAGGGATAAGCTCAAGACAGAATCACACATCAATACTGTGATAGAAAAGGACACCAAAACGTTTTAGACAGATTATCTAAGTTGTAGTCCACAATGATCTCCTCAAATAGTTTCTACAAAAAATGTAGATGGAGTTTAATTAAGGGAAAAAAACCCAACTAAACCAACCCAAAGCCCTGAAGTCAAAAACCTCTAGTTACCTACCTTATATTTTTGTGATTTCCCCAGTACATTAGCCAAGGAAAACATAAGGGAATGATCATTAGGTATTAATTCCAGGGCTTCTCTTCCGACTGCTTCTGCTTGAGCTAGATTGCCTAGGAGCCCAGGTAGCAGAAAAAGAGAAGGCATGTTTTAACACAGCCTTATTAGTTACTTTTCATGCTGCAAGCACATGTATTTTACAAATAGCTGAATGCATAATTTTTTAGAGAAAACCAGGTATCACACACACACAAATGTAAAATTCTGCAGACTAAGGCAACAGATTATCTTTGTTTTCAACAGATAACATGTTCAGAAAAACAAAAAAGCAGAGATCAAAAAGTTCTGGAATTTAATCTGTAATACAAACATGCTTGCACAATGATGGCATTTCAAGTCAGTATCAGAAATTCAATTTATGGGCTGGATTTCAAATGAAGTTTTAAAATCACTGAGTCAGAAGGCATTCTTATATTATTAAAGAGCGTCTGGGTAGCCAAAGAAGTTTTAGATAAAGGCAGATAAAGGTTTAAGTTTTTCTAGACACTGAATTATTCATTAAAACATTCAAATAGACCTTTACCTGTGTTATCAAGCAATATTATCATATTGTTCCAAGCCAAACTGTGCTCTGGTTTCAGGACTGTAGCATTCCTCCATGCATTCAATGCATCTATATGGCGGTTCAAATCTGCGTACTAAAACAAAAGAAAAGTCCAGTAATTTTGCTATTACTTGCTTTACTTTCCTATCATTCACTAAAGACACTAAAGAGTTGCTAATGTCTCGCTCCTTTCTAGTAGGATTGCTTTTTATAGGCAAAAATGAATGTAAAAGGAATACTCTTGTAGTATGGAACATAAGAACTCTATATACTAATTTTCCTTTTCTCTGGAAGTGAGGCTTTCTTCAAATAGGCACGTACCAATAGAATCGGGAGAAGAAACAGCATACAATTTAGAAATCTACACAAGATAATTAGTAAATATTTAGTATTTACTAATAATAAATTACTAATTTAATATTAATATTTAGTAAATATTTTATGTACATATTTCTAAAAATATGATTTGAATTTTCCAGCATTCTACTAGCTAACAATATGCATGTTGTATATTGTTTGTATACATCATCATGCAAATGATTGCAAAACAATCTAATATTGGGAAATGATTAAGAATACCTTTTGGAAAAAAATAATTTAAAAATCTCTACTTTTCTTCATACTTCTTTATATGATAAAGTAGGATTATCAAAGGTTGTATGTAAAGAAGTATACCAGGAAAGCAATAGGAAAAGCTACCAAAGGTATGAAATCACCCTAAAATACAATATAAGCAAACTGGGATAACGATCAGCTTCTAACAGTACAGGAGAATTATATAAATCTATCTATCTATATATATATATATACACAGAGAAAGACACACAGATTCCAGTCATAGCTATCATTTATTCAAAAGCACTTACCAACCGCCCTAAATTGTAGTAACAATCTGGATATTTTTTTCTGTGTTTAATTGCTGTCCAGTAGCTTTGCTCTGCCTCTTCAAACCTTCTTAAACTGTTCTGCACTATTCCTAGATTCATCCATGCAGCAGCAAAATCAGGTCTGGGCAAATTGGGAAAAAAACACCAAGTGAGAGGACAATTAAGCATTTGAAACACAAGATCCTATTGTATCATTTTGGCTCAGCTGGTACAAAACACTGCTTTAGCATTGGTCTAAACATACTGTATTTGTACAGCTAAGGACAGCAACTCCTCTGCTTCATGGAGCTCATTTCTTTCTTTCAGAATATTTCCAAGGTTGTTCATGGCATGCACATATTTTGGATTCAACCTAAAATTTAAAATTTAAGAGATTATTATTATGTATGGACATGTATTAATATATGCAGATTGCTAGCTCTGCAATGCTGCAGAACATGAAAATGAATACCTAAGCATTTTCTTCATGTTAAACCTGAAAGCAATTTCAGGACAGATCATTAAAGCAGTAAAATTTCTAATACCTTACAGCTTCTCTGTAGTATTTGATTGCAGCACTTTGATTTCCTTTGTCAGCCAGGTTTTTGCCAACATTGTAGTGCACCTGAAAACACAGATGGATATTCCACCAGATGCCACACAGTCAGATATTTTGTGGAACCAAAGTAGCTAAAAATTCTCACTCAAAAAGGAAACAGCACTTGTGTCATTCGCTCCTGGCTTTTGGTGTAGGTTGATACTTAAGATTGGATAATTCATACAATGAAGACAGTAAGACAAAATCTGAGGTATAGATTAGCTAACCTATTCCAGCTATTTAAAAGACATTAATCACTTCCTAGTTTTATAAATAAGGTCACCAAACCTTTCACAAGGCACTTTGTATGGAGACTTCCTGCCTTAATTTCGTTTATTTGCTAGGTAAGAGAAAGTTTGACTCAAATCAAATCTATTATAGCAAAAGAAACACTACAGCAATGTGTGAAACTTTGTTTTCATTACAGCATAAACTAGAAGAAACTCAAAAATTCACAAAAAAACCTGAACAAAAGGTAACAGACAGGCACAATTATTGTCTTAGGATAAAAATGCATCAAAGAGCATCTCTGAAATAATATGTATAGCAACATGTTGAAGACTTTGCCTGTTAAAAACTGAAGAATGAAGGAAAGATCTAGAGCTTTTAGTCTACAGGGAAAAGATTTATCATCCTAATTTATGGCAAGAGTAAATAGGAATAAATATATTTCAGGACAAATCTGAGTTGGAAGACATCTCAAATCCCACTTCAAGACAAATCCCAGAAGACTATGTTACCTGGTTGAAAAGTACTGTGAGTACTGACTCTTGAAAAGAGATTTCTCAGCACCCAGATCAGGACTCATTATTTAGATTACTTTACTATTTGAAATCAAATTGTATATAGTTCATCTAAAACACATACAGTAATTTTCCCCAAATTTTGAAAATCTAATTTCAAAACACTATACAGGAAGAACAAATTTTGATTGAAGTCAAAAAAGATAGGTTTGTAACGCACTTATATAAGTCTAATTCACCTTCTACATTAAAAAAAGGATTTTATCTGATGTGTCCATTAACTGAAAAATCCTAATTGCAGTTGGCACAGAATCTGGGACCTATTGATCCAGCACACATGATTGCTGGAGCCTAGTTGTTATGGTATTTAATTGTTGAACTTCATCTCTATTTGATTATAACTATGCAGTAACATACCATCAACAAATGAAGTTAAGGACATTTTCCATGCTTTCTCAAAAAGGGAGAAAAAGTATTTCCACTGGCTTTAAGGAGAGCAGAGATGCTATAAAGCTTACTAAGCATGCACAGAAGCAGCTCCTCACACTGTATGATATAAATTAGCACACAAATTCAGCATCCCATAAAAGCAGTTCTAGCACAGCTTCCACAAAGAAAAAAATCCTGGCCCTGTACTGTACATTCATAAAAATGTGACAAGGCCCGTGGCAAAGGAGCAACAGAATGGTACACTTACATCAGGAAATAACCAAACAAAGATCTATTGACAGTGTCAAAAAATACAAAAAGATAGAGCAGCATTTTCCCGGGAGTCATTAAAGTAAAATGAAGTACCCTGAAAGATGTTTCTTAGGACTGAATTCTATTTATATATGTCTTCCAGAAATTTTTCAGAACACTAACATTCTTACCAAATTGGATTGCTCTGATTATATATGTTGAAGTTCACACATTCAAAATTTACCCAGATAAAAGATAAATTGTGGCAACACAGAAGAAATATTTAAAGATTTCACTGAATACTGGATGTTAGCCCTTGAAGTACATAACTTTACACTTCAGTATCAGCAAACAAAATTATATTTAACTTGATTCAATTTCATTCTTTATGAAGCTTTACAAAATGGAATTTGACTAAAGACCAGGACAGAACGGATGAGAAAAATCTTGGTGTACACACTCAGCCTTTCACATGTCAGCTATCTTGTGTTAGGAAACAGCACTTCACTTTCTATTTTTCACAGTTTTTTTTAAACATGTAGTATCTTCACATCCATTTTTTCCCCAAAAGTACCAGCAGCAAGAATATTTTTCTCATGTAAACAGAATTGTACAGTATGAAGAAAACTGAGAGATATCAAATCTTTCAAGTAAAAACTTCAAATGAAGTATTAAGTGCACACATACATTTTGTGAACTGAACTAAAAAGATGTAGTATATTAAAACTGATAGCACAACTATTTAAATAAACTATTAGCATTTTCAATGGTGCATTTCTTTTGTCCTCAGCTATAGCTCCTGTGTGAAAGGAAATTATGTTTCTATACAATACCCCCCCAAAATTACCTTGCTGTAGGTAAATTTGCTAATTTCCCTTCAAGTGAAATTGTAGCTTTAGTTCCTCTCAATATGGTAGTGACAAAGAAGGGAAAAGGAAAAAAGCCAGAAACATACCAGAAGAAGTGCCCAGCCTCCAAGAAATAAATAAATATCCAATGACAAATCACCAGCTCTGCAATGGGTTATAAGATGCAGTAACATCCTGCTCTTAAGAACAGGACCAGCAAAGGGTTTCCAGGCACATACAGTCATCTGAGAGGTGCAGGTTACTTCTATCCAGCTGTGTCTTTCACTTCAGTGGCCATGGCAGAGAGATGCCAAGGTCAGCCTTGAGCTCACTCAAAGCACGCATGCAGTAGCCACCTGCAGGCTGCTGAGCACCAGGCTGGGACTCTCCTGCACAACACCGGGACACAAGTGATGCTTTCTATGTACCAATGTGGGAAGAATATCTTCTTTAACAATGAGGGGCCAGTGAGCTGTTTAAAATTTCATCTCTAGAGGTGTGGTTGTTCTGTTTTTGACAGATATTGTGCATGCCAGCCTGGGAGGGAAGATTATCCTTTTCTGGTTAAACATTTAAGAGCCCTTCGTTATTAAATGATTAAATATTAACTGGAAATGACGTATTACATTATACTCAGATGATCTTTTATCAATCTTAAACAGGCAATTATTTTACAGTAATAGCTCTAAAAGGAGCATTTCTCAGGGATGCAAAACAACACAATATTCTCTAAAATCTAAGAGATCAGGTAAAAATACCCTAGGGTAGAACCTACCCTCTCTCAACAGGCATGTTGAGTTAACATAAGTTAACATAGCCATGGCACCAGAGCCTAGCCAAGGAATAGGCTCTATGTATTTGTCTGTTCAATACCTCAATCAGCCTAAGAAACCAGGATAAAAAAGAAAAAGCACTGTATATTATTCTATGCCAGATATACTTTATACTTGAACTCTTATTTAAATGTTAAGTTTAAACAAGAAGAAAAAAACCCGTATTTTCCTGTACAAAAATGAAACTATTGCCAGACTGATTTTTTTGCCTTTGTTTTCCCTCAGAGCAGAACAGGAGGAAATTGAAATGTAATATCTTCTAGGAGGTACATCCCCTCAGCTGGAGCAGTACTGTTATCACCAATTTTACTCTCTCTTCCTAGCTGCTTATAATCTCTTTCTCAGCGAATATGAACATTTGCTGAAAAGGATGAAAGCAAAGCACAGATGTCAAAATTTCTCCAGGAACATGCAGATGCCTCCGTTCAATGCCAGCTCTTGTCATCAGTCTTCTCTTTCCTCTACTACTAATACTCTGTTTTCTAAATAATAATAAAACAAAGCTTTTTTGATATTTACGTCTTGTTTGTGTATCTAATGTTGTCTAAAGCTTCTTCGGCATGACTGTGCCTGTACACACAAAAAATTGACATCTAAAATGGTGGCAAAGCACTGCAAATAGCCCATATAAACACAGCCCACATCACTTAAGTTAAATTCCTTAGAAGATAATCCCCTTTTAATATACAGTGTAAAGAAAAAAATCTCAATATCTAAAGGAAATGCCCTCTAGATCAGCTTCCTTAAGGATCAAAGATCATATCCTCAGGCAGCTTTAAATGTTGTTCTGTAACAAAGAAGTTTTACAGGACCTTTTAAGAAAGTGTAGAAACCAATCTCACAGCCTTATTGTACCTTTTCAGTGCTAGCATTGCTCATCTCTGACAAATTTTTATCTATAATGACTGCAGTTTCCATAAAGCATAAATTTTCAAGTTACTTACTCTGGTATGTCAAGGCAGATGGAAACATTATGTTGGGAGTGTTTTAACTTACTTGCTTATTATTGCAGAAAAGTTGCTACTGAAATGGCTTTTCAAAAATTATGTCTAATAATTCTGACCCCTTAAAAAAAACAGTAGCAAGGAGAATGTAGAGGTTACATACAAAATAACAACAATTTACAATCATTTAGATTCAGTTATTTCAAATCTAGGAAAATAAAAATGCTGGCTATTTCCCACGTAGGTAATGATGTAACTGCAATTATTTATTCAGATAATCAATGAGAGGAAGTCATCCAGGAATAAAGACCATCTCTGAATTCTTAACTGCTATGGCTTTTCTAAAAGCTGAGAAAAAAGAACTCAGTTCTTCCAACAGTGCAAACATTTCCAACAGCAAAAAAAAAGGCAGCAAGATGAGCACTTTTGGGAATAATCTTTAAAATTAAAAGAAACAATGTATAATGACTTCAAAAGGTGAGGAGCAATCCAGCAATGTCTAGAAATAGTGAACAGCAGTAGACAGGGCCAAAATTCCAATCTTATGTATTCACATCTACTCAGGTTGTCAGGACTTTTATCATCAGTGGAGAGAAAGACAAATCTAGGATACAGTCCTTCTGACTTATGTCTCTCATTTAGTCCAAGGTGAGGAACCACATGCTAAAAGAAACAGCTTCTTCTCGCCAGGAGAAGAATCCAATCCATACAGTATGAAAAAATGTGGTAGGAAAAATGGAATCAATACATAGGCACCTCCTGTTCAGCTAAGGAAAATACTGCCAAATGTATTAAAAATGTGTACTGTTTCAGTCTAATGACCTTTGAAACCAACCTGAGTGCAGGGCCACACAAGTTCAGATGTGTGACATGCTCCTGGACATGTTTAACCAAGATCTGTAACATACTTGTTTCTCCCTCTTAAAAAACCCTACCCACCCAACCAATATGTATAATTTATATAAATATATATATATATACACACACATACATGCATACATATATACACATACATTTTTAAAATATTTTAAATAAATTTAAAAATATTTAAAACATTTTAAAATGTGTATTTGGAACATTTTCAGAGGTCAAAATATTTGTAGCTTCATTATGATACCTGATTATTTCCAATAAATTTTAAAGTCACTGGGCAACATTTATTAAAGTTGATCTTAAATGTCATCCTCTTGAACCAGATGTGTCACCACTCAAGACACCAGATTCACTACTGTGCCAGACAATCTCATTTAATGCAGTTTCCCCATTTTTATCTAAAGATATGTTTAAAGAAATGAGTCTTGAAATTATACAAGGAAGTGCAGTTAGTTCTTGTTATTTAGAATTAGGGTAAGTTTACTCTGTAATTCCCACACAGACAATTTGGAATTGAAAGAGCTGTATGACAAAACATGAACAGCTTTTTCTGCTACTGAGGATTTGAGATCCTGCTACATAATGGAAGTAAAGCATGACCACATTACACATATTTAATATGTTCCAAGAACAACAAGAAAAAGCTATTATCTATGTGCCATTCTTTGGTCTCCATCAGCCTCCCACTGAAATAAACGGGTCACTGAAAGAAAGTCCTGTGGAGTCATTTTTAAAGGAAGCCTGCAATTTCAGGATAACTGAAGATCAGAACAAAACTTGGTTCAAATTTTTACATTTACCTTTGTCAAAATTAAATAAATATAGATGTGTTAATAAAGAAAACAAGAGATAGGCTCTCATACATGGACTCCCTAACGTTCTTACTTAGAAAAGTTCCCTACTAATGTGATTTCAAAGTTACATCCCAAAGCAAAATTGGAATGTGAGCCTACAATCCTTTCCCTGTTCACATCTCCATGCTTTCCATTTGCACAAGCTGTCACCAGCAGAAATACAGCTCAGGCATATCTACAGTGCCCAGTGTTGACAAACACAAGCTCATTTTGCCTGTACATTCACTGGCTTTAAACCAGCTGCATCAGTTGAGTAGCTTGTGCACAGCTTATCGGCTCAAGCGCAGTACTGTGGGAGCACAGCTACACAGCTTCCCAGCCAGCCATGGCTGGAGTCCAAGGAGCTCGGAGCACAGGCAAAGAGTGTGGATCTGTCTGAAGCAATCTTACCATGGCAGATGGATGGAGTTACACACAAAGAAAACAGATTGCATTTGCTCCATTTATAGTATCTGCTTGTCATCCAGAAGACAAGATACACTGAGGTCATCATTAAGAAGAAGATGGTCGCCTACCACTGCCACACAATAAAATGCAGCAGCTCTTTCCTATGTATTAAAATCTCAGACTACTGAAAGACGCCACCATGTTGTAAATATTTGCCATAAATGTTTTTTACAGCTCTCTGTTGCATATTTGTGTTCCAGTAAATGCTAAGTTTATCATTCTCTTTGTGAAGTTGAGCATTCAAAAGTTAATTTTTAAACCCTGTGTCTTGATTGGTATTTTCTACATACCACTCTAGAGTGCAGGAATCTAATCTTTTAAAACATCAATGTATTTTTATTGACAAGCTGCACATTCCCACTCCCAGCCTTTTCAAAGAGTCTCCTTACTAAAATTCAGACAACGTCAGTGGTATGCTCCAACAGGTCACACTCTTGGCTGGCAAAGGACTGCTGTCATTGTTACAGCAGGTAACCTCTGCTGGAGGCTGGCATCAGTCTCCAGTGCTGAACACTGCTGCTCAGCTCAGTGAAACATCCTATCCAGTACCCACCATCTTACTTGTTCCCTCACTAAGCCTGCAGGGAAAATTGCAGCTTTCCTCAGTGCCCATGGCTGAAGAGTCTAGCCTGCTCAGCTGCTGTAAAAAAGCAGAAGTGGGAGCAAAATTTTCCTCCCACATCCCGCAATTGCACTGATGATATGCTGCTTTGTCCCTCAGCTGTGCTGGCTTTATATACCACTGGAAGGTACACAGAAAGGATTCTAAAAACAGCACAGACATTTTTCAGTTGAATACATTGCTACAGCTTACTAACCTTGTTTTGATATTTTTGTTGCAATAACTTGCAATTATATGCACAATTCTTCTAGATTTTATTAGCAGTACATCCAATTTGACTTGATGCCTTTCTTGAAGTGCATTCTCCCCTCTCCCTCACCTCCCCACTCCCAAGTTCTGAATTACAATATTGTAATTTGCACTTTCTGGTATTTTGACTATGCTACCACTGTAATTTAGATGTCTGACATGTCAATGTCATCTCTGAACCGAGCAAGACTGTGAATAACACTGTAGCACAATATATTAACTATGCATAACACCTCCTTGACCCCAAATTTCAAAACACTTACAGAAAAAAGAAGAAAGATTAGAAGTCCATGAGTGACTTACTTTTGCATTCAGAGGGCACACAGACAACGCACTCCTAAAAAGCTGTTCTTCTGACCTCCACTGGCTGCTGCGGAGCGCACAGCGCGTAACGTTTATCAACAAGATTCCAAGTACTGCCACTGCAAGAATTTTCTTAAGGAAAGAGAGCCAGATTAAGAAACAAATCATGCAACTGAACAGCTTCATCATGAACAAGTTTACTGATTATTTTGATGGTACCTTTTTCTTGGCTTGCTTACTCAAGAGACTAAACCCATATGTAAAGAGAATACAATATCCAATACTGGGGAGGTAGATGACTCTCTCTGCAACAACAAATCCTACTCGGAAGAAGAGATTACTTGCAGGAAGAAAAGGGATAATAAGAAATCCAAGTCCCAGTGTAAGGATTCTGCAAACAAGAAACAGATCCTTAGATTAACTACAAATTTTAACAAAAGTATCTTTTCCACTTAACATATAAACTTTATTTAAACATTGTAGAAGGATGTGCATATAGAACAGGGCATTTAAACACAGCCTTTGAGAGCCCATAAGATAAAATTTCAGTGAGGCATTTTAAAAACCATTGCTATAATTTCCAGAAAAGCAATATTCATGCTTCCAGGCCAGAAAATAGCCCCATTACATATTAATAACATAACTCCTATTTAAAATACACAGGCAGGAAAAGTAATAGTAAAAGTTACATGTCTATTTTTGGACCTAGCAAGACAGCAATGGGGGAAAAAACATAAACACTGTTAAAGAAGAAACTTAGGTGCACATTCAACCAAGAGGGTGGTTTTTCTCCTAACAAATCAAGAGTAGAATCCATTGTGGTTAACCACTTGGAAGTTAGTAATCTACTCTTTCTACAGACAGACACACACTTTTTGAGAGCAGTATGCCTTCCTTTTTTTAGGCACCAATGCTAGTATCCTCAGCAGGTAGCTGTTTATGGACTATACAGACCTCAGACAAAAGAGTCTAGGTACGTCACTATAACAGAGCTGACCTAAGGGAATAAGAACCTCAGGTCCATGTCAGGTATTTCTTACAAAGGCCATGGGCATGGCAATTTTTATTGTAATTTATTACAAATTAACCTCTATGCTGTAAGGTAGATGCATCCTCCTGGTCTTTTCTCATCCCTATAAAGTCCTAGGCCTTCATTATACTTTTTGTCTTCACTTTTTACTAAAAAACTGTTTAGCAATAAAGGCTTAGCAAGTGAATTTTTACTAGAAAGTATGACATGACTTGCAGAAAGAGTTCCACCCCCTCCCCAAAATTACTTATCTGTACAAATAAGTATGGGAACAGCAGAAAGGCAGGTGGGTACACTGCTAACATTTGAAGGGATGAGAAGAAAAGAATTAGAAAAGATTTTGCACTCTGAACAATAGAATTACTTGTGCTGGTGATAAAAGTAAGACTGCAGAAAATGTGGGCCCTCTCTGGAAGCAAATGGGAAGCCTGGCTACCCAGGACATGGAGAATGCTGAGGTATTCAATAAATGTCTTGTCTCAGACTTCACCAGCAAGTGCTCCAACCACACTGCTCAAGTCACATAAGGCAGAGACTGGGAGAATGAAGAACTGCCTGCTGTAGGAAAAGGTTAGGTTCAAGAACATCTAAGGCGCACAGCTCTCTGGGATCTGGTAAGGTGCACTTGCAGATCCCAAGGGAACTGATGGATGAAGTAGCTAAGATAGTGCTGAGCTCCTACCCATCATACTTAAGAAGTCATGACAGTCTGCTGAAGTTCACATGGACTAGAAAAGGGGAGACATAACCTTCATGTTTTGAATAGGGAAAAAGGCAGACTCAGGAAACTAGGTCAGTAGGTCACCTCTGTGCCTGGCAAGATCATGGAGCAGATTCTCCTGGAAAATATGCTAAGGCATCTGGAAAATAAGGAGATGATTGGTGAAAGCCAATCTGGCTTCACTAAGGCAAAAATGTGCCTGACAAATTTTATAGCCCTCTACAGTGGAGTTACAGCATTGCTGGATAAAGGAAGAGCAAGTGATACCATCTACCCGGACTTGTGCAAAGCATTTAACACTGTCCAGCATGACATCATCTCCAAACTGGAGACGTGGATGTGACAGCTGGACCTCTTGCTGCTAAGGAAGTGGCTGGATGGTTGCACACAGAGTTGCAGTCAATGGCTCAGTGTCCAGAGTCCAGTGACGGGTGGTGTTCCCCAAGGGCTGGTGTTGGGTCAGGCACTGTTCAACATCTTTGTCAGTGACATGGATGGTGGGACTGAGCGTGCCCTCAGCAGGTTTGTCCACAACACCCAGCTGTACACTGCAGTCAACACAGGAGGGAAGGGATGCCATACAGGGGCTCCTGGATAGGATAGGTGGGCTGATGCAAACCTCATGAAATCCAAGTGCAAGGTCTGGTACTTGGGTCAGAGCAATCCCAAGAACAAAGATAGGCTGGACAGAAATGGCATGAGAGCAGTTCTGAGAAGAAGGACTGGGGGTGTTCAGTGATGAGAAGCTGAACATGACGCAGCAATGTGCACCTGCAGTGCAGAAAGCCAACCATATCCTGGCTTGCATTACAATAGCATGGCCAGCAGGGCGAGGGAGGTGATCCTGCCCCTCTACTCTGCTCTGGTGAGATCCCAGCTGGAGTGCTGCATCCAGCTCTGGGGCCCCCAAGATAGAGAGGACATGGACCTGTTACAGTGAGCCCAGAGGTGCACCACAAAGATGAGGAGAGGGCTGGAGCACATCTCCTGTGAGAGGGCTGAGAAAGTTGGAGCTGTGTATCCTGGAGAAGAGAAAGCTCCAGGGAGACCTTCTAGCAATCTTCCAGTACCTAAAAGGGGCGACAAGAGAGCTGGAGATGGGCTTCTCAAAAGGACGCATAGTGATAGTGTCCCATTCCTGGAAATGTTCAAGGCCAGGATAAACAGGGCTCTGAGAAACCTGGTCTCATGAAAAGTGTCCCTGCCTGTGGCATGGGGACTGGAACCACCTGACCTTTAAGGTCTCTTCCAATTCAAACCACTTCGTGATTGAGCAGTTGAAAAATTTTAAGGAACTGAGAAATTAAATCTACATAGAATCCATGGGAACAGAACCTGCAAAGTTAAACAGAAGCCCTTATTGGGAAAGAACAGTTTACAATAAATTTTTTAGTTCTTTTTCTTAAAGTACAAACTGTTTTCTGAATACATACTAGGGACCAAGCATTTTACTTTTTAACTTTATGACCATGAGCAGTATTCCTACCTGCTTTTCAAAGCACATCTCCCGTCTTTCATTATTAGGAGAAAATTAAAGGAAATGATGACTTGTAAGAAGTAAGGGCAACAACAAATATAATTTCCTACTGTGTTCTGAGCACATATTACTTTTTACCACCTACAGTGCTAAGGACCTCAGAATACCATTTAAGAAGAAAAAATAAAGCAGCCATCCATGCCTCCTCCTCCAACTCTGTTTCCTACTAGATGGTATACAGTGATGGACCCAAACTGGGATAAAACTGTAATGACAGCTATAAATATTTATTTGAACTGCATTTGCTAGACACTGGTTCCACTGAATTGTTAAAATTATCAGTAGTGGATTTAACAAAATAACACTCTACTCAAGTTGGCCAGGCATTTAAAATTCATCACTGTCTCTTACCTTCTCTTATGGCTGTCTTCTGAGCATAGAGCTTGGCATATCAGACCAATTAGGCAGAACCAAAGTGCTGCTAGTGCAATTATCCTCAAGTCGCTGACGGATTTAATGAGGGGTATGCAGCCCATTGACCAATCAAAACACAGCCACCAGGGACACAACAGCAACCATGCATTCAGTGAATAGTAGTAATTATAGTTTATAGCCTGTCAGTCAAAGAGAAAACAAACATTTATTTGATACTAAACTTGGGGGGGGAGGGAGGCAACTTTAGTCCTTCTCTCCTCCCTCATTTCCCTCATAGCACAATAAAGAGGCCATGAATACTGTTAGACTACAACTATTTACATGTCCATTACTATTACAGCTGTGAAATTAATTTTTAAGTTTCTTTTAAACATAGCTAGGTGGCTCTCTAGTTCAGAGCAGGAAAATGCAATTCTGTGCTGTCCAACCAATATTCATACGTAAAAAGAACAATCTCGTACAACAGGAGAAAACATCAAAAGACATCACCCACTGCCTTCACCTTTCTTTCTCCATCTCCAGAAAGATGCTTAATGACACCAGAGGTATGTGGCCAAGACATACTCCAAATACACCAGACTAAAACTTTGTGCTATTTTCTTTAGTTGTGAAAGAAGATGAAAAGTCAAGCACAGTATGTGGAAAAGGGATGAAAATCAGAAAAAGCTAATTTCTTGCATGCATGGGAAAAATACTGAGTAAATGGAAAAGTACTTCAATATGTACAGTGCATGCTAAATTGAATGCAAGGAATATACACTGTATACTGTTGAAAAAGATAAAATTGAAGAGAGTCATCACAGCAGCACAAGTGAAGGCAACTCATCACACGTATCTATAAACTTAAAAACTGCCCACTTTATTGTTTCCTAGAAACACAGGAAACTCAATTTTATGACAAAGACAAATGTTCTGAGCTGGCCAGAAAAAAGCAACTTCATTACTTACTCTTACAAACAGACTGTCAGCAAATGAAGCTGGGTTGTCTACTTCGGTGAAAGCTGGTGGCCCTGTGCCCATAATCCTCCAGCGGATATAAAGTATAGCAGCCCCTCCACACATCAAAAGAGTTATCCTGAAAAGCAGCCCCTTCCTCAACAGCCCAGCATTCTACGGGAAAGAAAGAAAGAAAAAAACCCCACCTCATACAGAAACAGTATTTGTTCTCTTACACAACACATTCACATCCTTCTCACCTCTGTCTCAGAAAGAAAAAGCTATTCCTGTGCATTTTTGCTATTAGAGTTGACATTTTAATTGGAAAGTATTTTTTGCAAACATTTTAATTTCCTTCTCAATCAGTAAACAAAACTTGTTAGTTCAAGGAGGCTCTCTTCTACAAATCCTTTGTAATTCTATAGCTGATGCAGTTTTACATGGCAATCAATTTGACAGGGAATTTGAGCAGAACACAGCCTTTAGTATACAGCCTATAAAATTAATTCATCTTTTCTTTCGAAAATGGAAGATGATTACTTTGGGGATTTTGTTTTAAATAGCAGTTTCCAGCTGTCTGCTTGTCATGGAAAATTTTTGTCCACTTTAGAGGTAAATTGCAGGTATATAGCAAGAAAATGGCACAGTTAGGAACTGGGAGGAATTAGAACCCAAATTAAAATTTTCACACCCAAAAACATGATTAAAAAGCTAATGACAGGCAGGCACCCAAATCACTTACTTCAGGGTAAATTACTCAAGATCAGAAAAAGTATAAAATTGTGTTTGATCTACATTAACTCAGTTGGTTTACATCATGAATTTTATAATATACATTTCTGGGTGCAAAGAAGCAAACTCACATAAAACATAAAGAAGTGATGGTGTAGACAGTAAGTCTGACAGACTTTTATATATTTTTCTCCATAATGTACGGCACTTTCTGCACACATCATTTTCATAAATTAAAAAATAAAAACCAAACCCAAACCAAAAAACAAACCAGTGTACCAAACCTGTAGAGATTCTTCAAGCTTCACCAGTGGAGACTGGAAACAGAATCATCAGTAAGTATAACAACACACCAGTCAAAATTTTAATATGGCACAATAATTATTGTTACCTCTTAGTGGAATATGCTTTTAGCAAGGACTAGCATAGTTGTTTAGGGTATCAATGTCAACTATGTCTGAAGTTTTAAAAAAAAAAAGTAGGCTTTCTGAACAAAGACAGGCATCAGTGCACTGGCTGAAGATACTTTTTTTCTAAAAGGATCGAAAACTTAAATTAAAAAAGAATTTTCAGACAGTTTTTAGTATTTGAAATTGACAACGGAGTCATGATATAATATTTAGTTGAATACCTAAGGGTAAAGCAATCTGTAATTTTGATTTTACATAAGCTAGCCTTTGTGCTCAACTGCTTCAAACCTGGACATCTCAGTAAGCGAAGTTACTACAAGGCGGATTTAGGAATGGTTTTCCTACAAAATAGATTTTGGAGAAAACTGTCCTATGAAAAAGCCACATATAGTGAAAACTTACAACTGCTTTATGAAGCATTAATAACAAAATCTCTTATCCCAGGGCTTCATTTCATTTAATGAAGTACATCCAGTTTTAAAGGCCAGATTTCACAATTGCCACAAAATCTCTCAGTAGGCAGAATGTGAAAGTGGACAAGTGTTATTGTATCCTCTCTGATTTAGAACTAACTGAAATCTGGCATGAAAATGAAACTTGTCTCAATCAAGAAGAAAAAATGTTCTTACTTAAAGAGTTTTTGGGATCTGCCTTTCAACAAAGCAAAACAATCTTAGATATGCTTCCTTGGAAAGAGCAGAACAGATTTTTGCAGGTAGCAGGAGCTAAAATTAATTACTTCTACCAAAAGAATAAAACGGAAAAGGCACATCTGATGTTTTCTGCACTGAGACAGAACCATTTAAAAGTTCTTCTTCTAAACAGAAGCATCACGCTCTGAGCTCTTCATGCTTAAAGAATAATCCTCCAAAAAGGTTTGACTCTGACATTTCCTGGAATCATAGAATCGTTTGAGCTGGGAGGGATGCCAAAGGGATATCTTTTGCTAGATCAGTTTGCTCAAAGCCCTGTCAAGTCTGGGCCAGAACTCTTCCAGGGGAGGGGTATCCACAATTTGTCTGGGTAACCTGTTCCAGTGCCTCACCACCCTCATTGTAAAGAATTTATTACTGGTCAAACACTGGAACAGGCTTCCTAAAGAGGTGGTCTCCCTGGAGCCCTCTCTTCTTCCCTCCAGAAGGCATTAGACCAGTCAGGCACAGTCTGCCCTAGGTGAAGCTGTGCTGGCTGTCTCCAGTCACCTCCCTGTCATTCATGTTTTGACATAACTTCCAGGAGGATCTGTTCCATGATCTTACCAAGCACTGACGTGAGGCTGACTGGCCACCTATTCCTGAGGTTCTACTTATTACCGTTTGTTTCCAGCACTTAATTTGGCACTTAGCTCTGCTTTAGATCCCTACGGCTCTAAATGCTTCCCTTGTCACATTCTAGTTAACATTAGTTTCTTTATACAGCAAAACTCCCCAGCATTCCTGTTTGCTGCCTGAAACACTCCTGTAGTCCTCATTTAGTCCTCCTTGGTCAAATCTATTATTTCAGTTCTAGAGAACCTGCTTCCCCTGATTTCCCCTGCAGCTCCTCATTTCACTCCTTGCAAAGGAATTTGAGAGCCCCACAGGACTTGTGACACTCAGGAATATTAGTGAGACTCCTCTGCAGTGAAAACACCGACTGAGGCAAAGTACAAGGAATATTCATTTGCCATGTTGAATGTTGATGAGAATCTTAGCTGCTCAACAGCAGTGATGCTCTGGTAGGCTGTAGGTCCATTTGGCTGTTATCCATCATTGATCCGAGGCCGATTGTTTCTGTTATTTGCTTGCCAGTGCTAATACTAGGTGCCAGACTCCACTTGAGACAATACCAGATAAAGTCACATCAATGAAAGTCAAAAGAATCAATCCTTAGCAACTATCAGTGCTTACATAAATTTTTCTTTTAAACTCCAAAGCTACTAGGATCCTTTAACATAATATATTTTTAATGTACTTGTCTAACTATGTCACTGAGAATCTGAATAAATCTGTCCCTCTCTTTATTCTGACCAAACCAAGTACCAATACATTTCAGGTGTATAGTTACTGACCCTGGAGAACTTGTTGCATCAAGCAGTCAACTGCTCCATACAACATTTTTAACATACTGTTGAGAAAATTGTGGGAGGGATTTCCCTATCCAATGCAATTCTAACAATACCCCATTACTACTCATGTTGCTGCAGAGCTGTCATAGCACATTGCCTTACTAGACTGACTACCAACACCTTTTTTGAATGGTTGGTTTGGAGTTTTTTTTCCTAATTCTCAACAACAAAACTGTCAGAAGCTGAATCTTTGTCTTTCAGGACATAACTGTCTGAATAGCCAGAATGAAGATAATCTGTAAGAATGAACAAAACATCCAGGGACTCACCTCCAATGACTTATCCTTATACAGTAACTTTCGAATGAGCTCCAAAAGATTTATCTTGTTAATCACCAGTGCATCAAACACTGCATTCAAACCCTAAGGAACCAAGAGAAAAATAACAGCATAAGATGAAGGAGCTAACCACAAAGACTTGCTTTTAAATGCATCTTGAATTGTACTTCTACAATGACTTACTGTACATCTTAATTCTGATTCCAAACAAGTAGAGAGATACATTGGTAGTAATGATGGCAAAACTGTAAATAGAGCTCAGATGAGTAGAAAAACATTTTACTGTAATGGGAATTCAGCTACATGGAATAACCCTTCAGGGAATACCATGTACCAGCAAGCTAGATAACATATGCATGGTCACAACAGAATTCTGCCCTCCATCCTCTTCCCCAAATGCTCTGCAGTGTAAATGAAGCTGTCAAAAGTCAAGTCTTCTATCAGTAAGGTGGAATTCCTTTAAAACTTCTACTTATTTTTTGTTCTATGGTATCCTTGGACTTCCAGGTTTCAGAAATACTGTTTTTAAAGGGTACAGACAAAGGCTTAGAAAGATTTAAGAGGTATCAGGTTTGTTTTTCTTGTAATTACAGCAATAAACACAGTGCAAGTTGCTGGGTGGGGGAAAAAAAAAAAAAAGGAATTCTGTATGACATCAGCCACTACACATAAAACTAGAACATACTCAGTGCTTTGCACATACTACCTCGAAGCAGGCAAGCAAAATATATAAATGTATCCAGGGGTAATTCTATTGAGGTTACCAGCAAAATCAAGCCTTAGTATTTCCACTTCAAAGTTTTAGCATATCACATGATAATTCTTGAGTATTTATTCTATATTCTAATAATTTCAGAAATTACCTCACTGTTCTAAAGACTAAATAGAAAAAAACAAACAGTAAAACTAGTTCCAGGTGAAGCAAAGAGCTGGTTTCTCAAGAATTACATTCAAAAACAAGAGCAAGAAAAGTGAAACTAATGCTCATGAAAGTGAAACCTTTAAACTTTGCAAACCTATATGCAACCTTCTTACAAAAGTTAAAGTGAAAACCTCTAACAGATTGGCAAAGATACAGTTAAGACAGATCTACTAGAATACTGCTTTTTGTCAACATTAGCTAGTTTTCTGAACAGAATAAAAAGTTGTGCATGTCATTTGCTGTGGAGAAGATTAATTTCTGTAGACTCTACAACTATGTCTGACAGATGCTGAGGTCAAAATTCACTTAATAAGAAAATTCTTACCAGTATTGTAATTCCTTGTTCTTTGCACAGCATGGCTATTGCACCTAGGACAACACTCACCAGCACCCAGAATACAGAAAATGTATGTCCTTCCTTATCTGTCAAAATAAAGAATGTCATATCTTTAGGCATTTTATACATTTAAAGGTAAATTAAACTATGAATTTAAAAAATAAATAGCATTTATTATCGCAGTCTTTTCTAACAGTCAAGATCCAGATACAAAGATTTAAAAAGCATAGAGCACCTCCTGCAATATGCTGGCATTTGTCCCTTTATTGCGGTAATTTTCTGGTTTTGGAGACATTAGAAATCTCCCTATTTGCTCAATGTTTTAGCCAGATTAATTAGAATGGCAGAAGCTCCGCATAATTTTCACAATTTGTCATCTTCAAAGGTTAATTCCCAATATTTAGAGGCATTTATCATCCTTATCTAGAGCCCTGTCATTACTGGCCCCTCTCTTCCAAGCTATCATAAGAACAAGAAATTCTTTATAATAGTTACTCAAAGTGTCACACACACAAGCTGTTTTAACTGCAGCCTAGTCTACAAAGGCACAATGAGCTGCTTCTCCAGGGCTGCTGCATTCAGCAAGTACCTCGTGTCATTTTATTATCACTGTGATAGAATGCTATGGAGCTCAAAAATGTCAGCAGCTGAGCAGAAGCAGTTAGTCCTTGCACTCGGGAAGCAGTTTTACAGCAGGGTGAGGAACTCTGGGGTTAAGAGATCAAGAGCAACTACAGCTTCTACTCAAAGTAAAAGTCTTTAAAGACTGTACCATGTAGCTGATTTTGGGTACTACAAGCAGGCATATCTGAGATTAATACAACAATAAACCCTACTTCAGCTAAGGTACTACCACACACAGAATACATGGGTACTTCACATGAAAACATATCTGTCACAACCTCTACTCCGTAGGTGCAAGCAACAGAGGGAAGCACTCTGCTCATTCAGAGGCAGTTGCTTGATTCAAGTAACAGGGGCTCTACAGGCATCACAAGAATCAATCTTTGACTTGGCATGTGAAAAAACAAAGTTGAACTCTGCATTCATTGACTGAATCCTTTTCCTACTTCCCTTGATCTCTAGAACAGTTCTCCTCTACTGCTAATGCAGGTTTGACCCTCACTGCTTGAAGAGAACTGCAATAATGGTCTATGGAAAGGGGAAATGGCAAGATTAAGATTAATTTCACCAGAAATAGGCACCTACACCTAAGCTACTACACTAGGCTTCCTTTATAACTAGCCATAAGAAGAGGACACCTTTAGGGATTAAGTTACCTAATTAAATGCAGCTGAACACCCTTCAGAGAAGTAACTCTGCCCTAATGATACAGGGAAACCAGTACACTACTTGAAAAGTTGTTGGGGTCAGATACAAATCATAACCATATGTGTGAAAAGGATCTGCTGACATTGGCCTCTTCTTTAATTTTGAACCAGGCTACTTCTTTTGTAGCAGAGAGCTCCAAACTTTTAATACAAATATGTCAAAGAACAGGTTTTGAGGTTACTTCTATCATTCCTTTCTTACCTAAGACTTCTAAAGCTTCAGCAGAGTGAATACTAAGATGTCTGAGACTCATTCTTGCAATACACAGAGGACATTTGATCCTTCTCCCTCCACTCCAAATTATGTCTCCAGAGGTGAGGTAAGACTTGGCATTAGAGGTGCAAATGTTATAAAAGAAAACCTTCTTTTAGGAAAGAAGTCATACACATCTGAATAATGCCAAAACAAAGCAAAAAAATACAAAATACATAATGACTAAAGAGATATTGGAAGTAGAAAAATTAAAATGCAAAAGGGAAACTCCAGCCCACATCAATTATACAGAAGAACAGCTGAGGGTTGCAACTCATGGAGGAAAGAACTTCACCATTTGTTCTATGAGTACTGCTAAGACAGAAAGAATTCTGTCTAAATACATCCCTTCAAGGAGCTCTTCAACTTTTCAGACTTTGCAGTACAACAGACTGTTCTGCTAGTTCTTGAAAACCAGTTTGGTTTTCGTTTGCTTGATTTTGTTTTTGGTTTTTTTTGTTTAACGTAGGAATCAACTAGCACAGAGAATCCAAGGATAGAAGGCAAAGTAACTGACTGTTCACAAAATGACTGTCAACCATCCTTATTAAGTGTAAAAAGGAAAATAGTGAAGACAGTCAATGGACTTTACTGTGTTTATGGAAATAGACTTTTTTCCATTGAGAGATTTCTTCTTCTCAGAATCTAATTCTAGTGGAAAGGAGTTAGGACAACTAAGCACTTCTCAGAGAAGCAGTATTCAGTACACAAACACAAATTATCTTAACACAGAAGATAGTGGGAAGTATATATAGTAAGAGACCAGCTGGCAATTCACAAATGCTTTGATGATTCAAAATGTAAGAGTAATAGTAAAAAGGGCACTAGGTGAAATCATCAAGTACAAGTGTAATAGCAGCACATTCATACAGAAAAACAAACACAGAAAGGTCACATCACAAAATGAGAAAATGTAAATTTTGTGTGTTTGTAAATGTAAAGAACAAAACCCCACAATTCCACAGATATATTGGTAAGAATAGTGAGGAAGCAGTTATTCCAATATTCACTGAGAAATAAAATGGACAATGCCAAGAGAACAGAAGTGTTCTGTGCCCTCTTCATTAATTTTTTCCCAAAAAGGTCAGATGCAATCAGATGGCAAGTACAGCATCAGCAGAAAGGGAGGAAGAACAAAAGCAAAAACAGTGAACTACAAGACATGGAATTCATAGAGAAGTTCACGATTGGTTACATTCACCTCAACAAGTCCTGTACAAGCCAAAGTAACCTCAACTGTTACCTCTGAGAAATCATGAAAAATACATGAGAATCCAGGAGTTTGAAATAAAATAAAACAATGCCTACATGTCTACTTTTGAAAAGGAACAAAAATATGAAAGGATAGACTACAGACACAAACCTAAGCTGACTGGTCAAAAATCACTACACCTACATAAAATATTTTCTAGATGACACTTTAAACATAAAAAAATATGATCAATTTTTTTGTCAAATATTTTAGTCATCTATACAGAACTAAATATATCTTTTGACTTGGACAGAAAAAAAAAATAAAATCTTCCTGATAAAAGGAAATCTGTAAACATCCTATACCTTGACTTTGGAAAGGTGTAAGATTATCACTGGAAGCAGTGTGAAATATGCCACAAAAAAATACGGGCTGCATGAAGTTGTTATAGAATGGGTACAAATAACAGCTGGAAAACTACAGTAAGATACTAGCTTGCTATGAAATAAAGTAAAGATAATATTCTGTACTGGATTCTTCCTTTGTCCTTACACCATTTGGATGATGGAATAAGAAATATGCTCATTAAGACCAGAAGTGCTGCCAGGCTGTAATGGCCAGGAAGCATACAAAGGAGAAGTCAGAATTCCATTGACAAACTGGAAAAAAACATGGAATCATATAATAGTTTGGTTTGGAAGGGACCTTATGGGTCATCTGATTCCAAACCCACTGCCATGGGCAGGGACACCTTCCACTAGACCAGGTTGTTCAGAGCCCCATCCAATCTGGCCTGGAGAAATGGTCTAGCCAAATAAAAGAAAACAGTAGCCATTCAACAGGCACATGCTCAAAGTTGTGCATAAACAAGTTTGTCTTCTTGAGAATGTCCCAAGTCTCAGATGCAAGAAATGTCTCAGCTTGCCCAGCAAAGTCAAGCTTAAGCATGGACTTGCAAAGATGATAAAAGCACACAGCAAAAGAGAAATAATGAAGGTCTCAAGAACTGAGCATCAAAGACCTGGACTTCAGTAAGGCCTCATAACAGTCTCCCATCAAAGAAGCTGTTGTTGAACAGGCTGGATGAGGAGACAGTGAGGTGAGGTGGACTGAAAACTATCTGAATGGCTTGTCCAGATAGTGGTGGTCAGTTGCACAAAGTCTAATTGAAGGCCAGTGCACTTAGGAGTCAATACTGGGTCCAGTCCTATCCAACATCTTCATTAATGACTTGAATGATGGGGAAGAGGGCACCCTCAGCACATTTGTTGAGGCACCAAGCAGGGAGGAGTGACCAATACACCAGAGGGTTGTGCTGCCATACAGAAGGACCTTGTCAGGCTGGAAAAATGATCTGCCAGGAACCCCACATGATTTAATGAGGGGAGCTGCAAAATCCTGCAGTAAAGCCTCCTGGACAGCTGGCTCTAGGTGACCCTGTGTGGGTAGATCAGCTCAGGTGACCTCAAGGCCACTCCAACCACTCCACGATTCTGTGAACAAGATCTTCTCCTGAAAAGCAAAATTTCTGTTCCTTTGTTTTCTTTTGCAAGCTCAAAAAATCAACAGTTATACAGAGAATTGTAATATTATCAAAATTCACCAGTGATTAAACTTCAAAGAGAAAGAATCTGAATTATGAAACATTTTATTTCGTTCTTGTTCCTGAGCCAATATGCACAACACCCTTCCATCCCCACCATCCCCTGCTTCAACTGCAGAAATCTCAGTAAACTAGGCTGGCAAAATAGATACAAAAGACCATCATTCAGCAATGCCTTCAATTTTATATATATTATTTTTTTTTTTAACATTGATTTGAAATTGTAAAGCACTGCACAAGTGCTTATTATGAGATATACATGTGCCAACAGAAGTAATCAATCTAACAAAGCATATTCCCCTAATATGGCGCTGTTTCCCACCAGAAAAATCCTGTGTCAGAAAACGAAACTGATCTTTCATTGGCACCTGTGCCTGGTTGAAACTGGTACGCCATATTGTGAGTGGGCATTTTGCCACTAACAGATGGACAAAACTGTAAGCATGCCAAAGAAATAGAGTACTTGCTTATTTTTTTTTTAAGCTGGAAGAATATAGTGTTTCTACACAAACCCAAAAAGCGTTGCTCAGATGGTCCCTCTTTAGGAGTACATGAAGCTTCCTTTCCAAAGTTGAGGGGATTCAATAAAATACCAAGGTAAGCCATAAACAAGCCATGAGAGCTCCTCCATTTAGACTGCTAGACTTGAGTAGAAGCATTTCTAGGGCAAGGATGCATACACAAAGTGTTTTATAGTGCAGAATTGA